CCACTTACTTAGTGTAATGTAGCATTAAAAGTTATATATGCAATAGGCTAGGATTAACTCCCACCGAATGAGGTGATGTAGAATTCTTAATGTAATAACAGTACTATCATTTAGTAAATAAAGTCTCACATTTTATGCTTATTTGCAGTAAAAAAAAAATAAAAAAAAATAAAAAATTATATAAATATAATTTTAATTTATTAATTGTTTTTAATATTTGAGTTTAAAATTATTTTATTGGCTTTAAATTATTAAATTTGTTAAAATTATAAATAATGTTTATAATACAATATTATAATAATTAAAATACTATTTTAAGTTTATATAATTAAAATATAAACAAGATTTTTAAACTTATATAAATTTTGATTAAAAATCTTATTATAATATATATGATCTTGAAAATTGAAATTAAACAGACTTATATAAACTTGTATAAGATTCAAAACATTATTAAAAATAATGATAAGTTATAATTCATATAATAAATTTAATATAAACTTAAGAATTGAGAATCAAATCAAATTAAATTATTAGAATTCTTAATAATATATTTATTATTTTGAAGATTTGAATTTTTGAATTAAAATTTATTTGTAATAAAGAATATAAAACATTTTTAAATAAAAAATATTTATAAAAAAATTTTTTTAGCAAAATATATATAATTAAAAAAAAGTTTTTTTTAATATTATATATTTTTTAATTTATATATCCAATATATTGTAAAACTTTTTGGAATTTTTTATATCTATTATTCAAAAATTATTGTATAAATATTTATAAAAAATATATTAAATTAAAGATTAAAACCTAAGGATTACAATAATATAAATTTTTTGAAATTAAATTTAAAAATTGATTACAAATAAAATTTTCATTAAAGTTTTTATAAATTTATAAATTTTAATTCAATTTATTTAAAAATTTGTTAATTTAATCTATAGATTTTTAAATAATTTTTTTTATAATATTAAAAATAAAATATAAGATTTTGTAACTTTGTATAAATTTAAATAATATAAACCCAAAAATTGGTTAATAATAACAATAATACTGTATATCTTTTTTATAAAAATTTTTTTTTATTTTTTAATTTACTATTAATTAAAATATCTAGAGTTTTGTAACACACTGTATATGTAATATAAAATTATATATAAATATAATTTCAAAATTTTTTATTTAATAGAAAACAATAGTAAAGATAATATTGAAAAGTTTTGATTTTACCATTTTATAATAATTGTATAGCTTAATTTAAAAAATAACTTGAATTCAAAATTTTTTTATTATATAAATTCAAGTTTTTTCTTAATTAAACTGTACAATTATTATAAAAGATTAAAATTATAAATCTTTTATTATTGTTTTTTATTTGGAATAGAACTTAAATATAAGCTTTAAAGAATTATAATTTAATGTTTGTAATAAGTTACTATATAACGCTTATAATAAAAATTATAATTTTACACTTCAGGTAACACATTCATGGGTTAATATTGTAATTAAAAATTTTCAAGAATAATCTTAAATAGAATAAGTTACAAAATAGCAAAGCATTCTTTGTTTTAATTTAATATTTTATATAAAAAATCACTTTATTTTTTATTAAATAGCCAGTTTTATTTACAAATTTAATCACAAACTTGCCATTTTAAAATTATTAAAAATTTTAAGACAAATAGTGCAATCCATCGTCCGGCTTCCAAATTCCAAACTCAGGTTTGAAATGCAAATATGGCACTATATGATTTTATTAAGATTTTCCACATAATTGCGTACATATGTAATTATTAACATGGTCTATCTAGAATGTGTGTATAACTTCGAAATTATGTATCCGAATCCGCGATAACATCGATTTCCAGTTTTTCGATAAATACGGGTTCAACGCAAACTTCGCTAAATTCATCTTCATCCACAACCGAAACGGAGTTCAAAGGTATATAATGATAACTATCACCACCTTTTTCAGCGTGCAACCTCCGAAAGAATGAGTGAATTTTCTCTAATTTTGATCTTTTAAATTGGGCACCTTCGAGTTTGTCTGGTTGACCGTCATACGCGTTAAGTACACTCTCTGAGGTGTCCGATCCGTTATTTCTTCCATATAAACAGTATAGTGTTACGCAACTAAAGTACAATGCAATAGTTATGAAGGATATAATAATAATCTCCATTCCCAATTGCATGTTTAAATTATATTTTTTGCTGTCTGTGGTTTAAAGCGTTGATTTTTTTTTTAATCGGTTTATTTGTAGTTTTTTTTGGATTTGCCTATTATTTGGCCTTTCTCAGTCTAAGATTTATCTATTGTATGTACAGTTCATCAGTAGATGGGTAGGATAAATGAATTTGGAGGATATTTGATTAAAAAAAGAACACCTTCACCCGGCATCTTATATATAAGTTCCAATACTAAATTTTAGTGTTGAAAACTTTAATGTCGTTGGTTCGAGTTGAAATTTCATGCATAATTTATGAAACATTTTATTGCTTGTTACACAATGTTTGTTAACCATAGGAAAATTCGGAATGCGATTTTTGGTTGGTAAATGTGCATTTGCTAGGCTAATTAAAGTCCTTCTTTAATTATGTACAATTAATGTCGCACAATTGCATTATTTCAAAAAAAATTTTTGTAAAAAAAAAAAAAATAAAAAAGAATGCTGAATTTACAACAATATAATGTATCACGTGATCTAAAGGATAAATAAATGTTAATGTCTTCGTTTTGCCCGAAATTCGTCATCATCACGAGGGGCTTCGCCAGTGGTTCGTTTTCGTGAACTGAAAGATAGAAGAAAAGTATTTATTAACGCCCACACATTTATTTAAAAATTCCATCTCAATAAATTAAATTACCCATCCCAACGTTCGTCTTCTCGTGAGCGATAACTCTATTTCAAACAAAAATAATGAGCAAACTAAATCCATGAATAAACCAATAAATGAATAAATGATGAATCGAATCAGAAAAAAAATTACCCTATTATCTCGGTCATATGCGCCTGAATGTGTTCGCTCCGCACTTCCTGATGCACTCCGATTATCGCCAGATCTTTCTTCATCTCCTCGATCTGAACTTGGGCTATCTACCGACGCAGAGAGTCCACGATGATCGGCAGGTCCGGTCGGTGGTGCGCCGGATCTGAAAGGCGGTCGTAACCTATGTGCAAATGGTGCATCAGGTGGAGGGGAATGCTCCCAATCATTATAATCCGATCGATTCACCCCGGCACCATGCATCGGGCCAGTTGGTGGTCGACCCTGAAACACGGGGCGATATGGTTGTGTATTGCGGTTTTCCATTTCCCATGCTGGTAAATTTTTATGAATAAAATATCAACATACAACTGTTTATAGCTCAAGTGTTTATTAAATTTAAGGGTAAATGTTTGTGTGTAATTGCAATAGGACAACAGGCAGAATTTCCCTATAACAAAGTACATCTATGCAAACATTGTCACATACATTGATCATCCATGGAAAAGAAAGGCCTAGTCAAATGCAAGTACTCTGTCAACAAAATACATTCACAATAATTTCGAGTATAAAGCATGTATAATTTAACTTTATTTACCTTTCTTCTATTGCCATGCCACGACCTCTTCCAACCATTCCTCCAGGCATTCCCCGTGGCATTCCGGGCATTCCACCAGAAGGCATGCCACCACCTGGCATTGTGGGTGGCATGCGGTTTGTCATACCAGGCATACCTCCTGGCATCCCTGTGGGGCGCATCATATTGCCCATATTGTTCATGTTGCGCATCCCTTGACCACCTCGGTATGCGGGATCAAATCCCATTGGACCAGATGGTGGCATTTCTGGATTTCCCATGAAAAAAGGTGGATGAGGACCCATTTGTATGTCCTTGATAAAGTTTGAACTGAGAACTTTGATGTAGAGTCATATGGAAAGTGAACACATATAAAATAGCTTACTGGTGGTGGGAACATTCCCATACCCATGGGCGGACCTATTTAACCCAATATTTTGGTTAAGACAATTCAAGTATACGGCGCATCTACTCAGTTACTCAATAAAACAAATATATATTATCTTAGTATAAAAACCTTGAAATTCTTGAGGATAGCCACCTGATTCCATTCCATATTCATCGTTTTGAGGTCCATCCATAATTGTTGGCTGAGGACTGCACAAAAAGATTCGTGGTCAATTTCATATAGCAACTTTCAAGGGGGGGAGAGGAATTTTCTTAAAACTCACAGAGGTTCCAGTTCATCCAAAGCTGCTTCTCTTTCACTAGAGACCACCTGAATCACCGAGTCATCTTGATCTCTTCCGCGGCGCCCTAAAGAGGTGGATTCATATAAGCTCAAGATAAGTTTGTCATTGCGCAATCAATAATTACCTCGTCCTCGCTGTTGTTGAAATCTTGGATGATCCAGTCCTGTTTGGGATTGACTTATGGACTGTAGTTCCGGCGGTAAATTATTTATCTCTTGCTTAGACTCATACACCTAAAAAAAAGAGAAATGTGAGAATGTCCACAATAAAGAAAAAAGAATAATTCCTTATAGTTAAATAGAATTTTACAGATCATACATGAATTTTCTTACGCGAATGCTGATCTTCTCTCATTTGCTTTTGTTTTGCACAGTAAGCTTTCCACGTATACTCATTGAATCCATAATTGAAATAGTCCGTAATATCAGCACCTATCGCCAATTATGATGACACAATGTTAAAATTAGAAATAAATCATTTGACGACTTAAATTCTTACCAGGTTTTCTCCAAGGTTTATCTTCTACCGAATCTAAATCAACGTCATATATACTGGTCCCGTCAATTGTTCCGATAGCATTAATGTCAACTCCGGGAGTTCGACTTGATGACGTTTGCCCTCCTTCTATATTCTCCGGTAGCGAATAAAATGGAGATAATTCGTTTAGGAGATACCTAAAGAATTTAGTTATCACATACTAATAAACTTACCATGCCGTTGTGGTCCAATGGATTTGTTGAATGTATTGGGTTTTATGTTCACCAGTGGATTTCTTTTACAGAATATATGTTAGCAAATAGAAATACAAAATAATTCATAATTCTCGTACCTAGTACCGGTATCTGTCGGTTTCGGTGGCGGCACGGCGTCCATAATAATTTCTATATCCTTTAAACGAAGATTGATAGAAGTTGTTAAATTGAACAAATAAGAAAAGGAAAATGCATTATATGGCTGAAAATTCGTTGTACAGATTCACTATCTTCTTCCTCCTCCTCTTCTTCTGCGATTTCTTCCTCTTTATTTGTCTGTTCCTGTTCTTGCTCTTCCACTAACTGGTGTGTTTCTGAGTTACCATTTTCTTCCAGCGGTTCCATAGGATCAATAGACTGTATTTCCTCCTGATAAATTTGACCAATTTCATTATCATCTTCGCTTCTTCATAAATGAAAGAATGTAAATTGATGATGTTTTTTTATTAATTCATAGTGAACTTGATCCATTACTATCATTCAACACGGGTTGTGATTGCACATACATTGCAACCGAATCTGTTGCGATTTGTCCCGAGTCTTCATTCACTTTACTGATTTCATTACTTAATAGTCCACAAAAAGAGAATACGCAGAATTATTGGTCACGTCGATTAATAAAATTTCCGTAATGTAAGAAAAAGATTTGCACACATACTTTGACTCGTCCCCATATAGATCAAAGAGATCGTCGTCTGATGAGAGAGAGCCAATACATAAATTTTTATCGAAACGATCCAGATAATACGTGAAATGATCAAATAAGACAGTTAAATATTGACCAAAAGAAAATAATTCTTTATTAGAGTTCTCTGTTTCATTACAAATGAGGTGGCTATATATCTAGAATATTGATGAAAAGGAAAACCAACGAGAAACCAACTATACTAGACTATCTACATACAGTTGAATTAGACGTGAGTTATCCGTACCTTCAATCTCTTCATTTTTTATCTTGTTGGAAGAAGGATTCACTATGGCATAAGAGATAATGAAACCAACAATTAAAACTAATAGTAATAAAGATACAACGAAACATATTTCTTGTTTTACAACGAACGCTGTGAAATAAAAAAAAATTTTTTTTTCGGAATCTCGAAGAATGTTCTTAAAATTTCTAGATCTATGCATTTAATGGGGACCGGTTGACGGTGAAAGTCCAGAATTTTGTTTACCTTCCTCTTCTCCTTGCGCTGTGGTTGTTTCGTTTCCCAAGGTGCCATAAAGGAAGGCATCCTCTTCATCGTAATCCACGTTGTTTGACATTATGACTAAGCAGACGTTTCTTTGTATATGAATTAATATTTATATGGAATAACTTTTTTTACATCGCATGGTCAGTTGATTTAATTAAACTTATGATTACATTGTATATATATAGTGTGCATTTGAACAAATATGCAAAATAACCAGTAAATAATCTTAATAAATTTATTAAAAATTATTATTGTTATCATTATATTATTATAAAATAAATGAAAGAATTATAAAAAAACATTTAAACATTTAATATTTTAAATTTTAAATAAATATTAAAACATATTTAAAATTTTATTTTAATTATTTAATTATAGCCAATTATATTATATATATTACTGTTAAGCAATATTTAATAAAATACGGTAACACAGCTTTATTCAATCAGCTTTCTAGAAAAACTCTCCCTTTGTCAATCAACCGCAACTTTGAAATCTAAAATTCTTTCACCATGGCTATGGCAGCTTCAGCAAAAAGTCGGAATGTAAGCGCCTTCGACAATTTCGTTTTATCGAGTTTACCTGCTTACGTTTTTGCTTTTCAGGCCCGGCTACCACCAGAGGTTAATCGCGTGTTGTTCGTTAGAAACCTTCCTTTTAATATTACCTCCGAAGAAATGTACGATATCTTTGGAAAGTACGGCGCCATAAGGCAGATCCGATTGTGAGTATTTTTCCGTACCTCTTCCTTCCACGATTTCACGTAAAACCATTGACAATATTTTCTCAGGGGAAGCGAAAAAGATACGCGCGGAACGGCTTTCGTCGTTTACGAGGGTATGTTAAGATAAATTTAGTATTTGACTTTCAATATTCTTTCCTCTGTTGAACCGCAGAATTCTTCAATTTCTAGATATATTCGATGCGAAAGCTGCATGCGATCATCTTAACGGATTCAACGTAATGGGTAGATATCTTATAGTGCTGTACTATCAACCTAATAAGGTTACCAAAAAGATGAATCTGCAAAAGAAGGAAGAGGAATTGAAAGAATTGAAAAGGTATTTAATGAAAAAATTGTTATCGCCATTGAATATTCTTCTAATATTTCTTTTAACGTTTGATCAGTCGATACGGAATACCAGATTCAGAATAAATGTCATGACGAAATGTGCGGAATGCACGGTTAGGAATCAATTGTTTTCATGAGTGATTATTTGTAGTTTATTATTAATGATTTCAATGTATAAATAGTTCGATAATAGAGAAAAAAAGGGTATAATACTAATATAAATATTTGATAGGGATGAAAAAAAAAACCAACATAGAAAAATTTACTAATGCTGTATGTCATCCCACTCTCTACCTTTGACCCTCGAAAGATCTTCTTTTGAGGGAACTTTCCCTGTACTAAAGTATCCATCCGCTATCTTAGCATCGATTTCAACGCTGTTTAAAATATTTGCGGTTAATATTCAAGTTTATCTCGTTAGATAACTGTAAATAAATAAATTCGTGTTCAGTCGTACCGTGAGTCTGGTGGAATCAAATCATCTGGAATAGGTACGCGTTCAATGATATGAATTCCCGAATCCCTAATAGCTTCGTACTTCATGTTGGACATTGACATCATCCTGTCAATCTTTTTGATTCCGAGCCAATTCAAGACGTCGGGCATCAAAGCTTGAAATCGCATATCTTTCACACCGGCAATGTTTTCTTGTTATCAATCAAATGTCAGTATTCGTGGAATGGTATATGGGAGGCGTATTAAATGTCAGACATCTAAAATTCACCTGTGCGTAAGAAATAGTTGTCGGCCGTATCACCTCCAGTGGCACGTTTGCGGGCGTTGTAAACGAGATACTTGGTCACCTCTCCAAGGGCACGCCCTTCCTTGCGAACTAAAAATAAATAATTCTTTGAGCACCCATAAATAAAAATTGCATAGATTGAAATAAAATTTATCTTACAGTAAACAATTACGCCTGATCCTCCATTTTGAGCTTCCTTGACGCATTCTTCCATTCCGTAAATCAAATAAGGTCTGCAAGTGCAGATGTCCGAACCGAATACGTCGGAACCGTTGCACTCGTCATGAACCCTCAAAGTTAGTCGTTTGCTCGGGTCACTGACATAACTTGGATTCCCAAATATGTACACGGTGAGTCCCCCAATTGGGGGCAGGAAGATTTTGAGGTCCGGACGGGTTATAAGTTCCGGGTACATTCCACCCGTGTCCTCGAAGAGCGCGCGACGTAGCAAACCTTCGTCGATACCAAAGCGTGCGGCAACTCCGGGTAAATACCAAACGGGCTCAACAGCAGCTTTCACCACATCCAACTCTCCCGTCTCATTAAGCACCACATTACCATCGACCTGCAATATTCCCGATTTTACCGAATTTTCGATTTCTGCCAGTTTCATGTGTGCTTTGGTGATGGCAATGGTCGGACGTATGTCAAGTCCTTGTTCTATTTGGCTTTTAAACAAGGTGGTTGTTAGGTGACCGAAAGGATCCAGTGAAACAATCTTATTCGATATTCCCCATTGATGATGAGGTCCTATTTGAACGGTAGGTTCGGTGTTCTGATAGTCAGGGCGATGATTAGGATCAAGGGCGCCCATCGCGACGGCTAATGCACGGTATACACAATACGATCCACCATACGCACCGATGGCATTGCTAATAAATAATAGTGATATTTACATTTAAAGAGAAGTCGGTGATAAATTTGCGGTGAATAATCAATTGTTCGTGCGGGAGATTTACCGAATTTTGATGCTTGAGGGATGACGGGAAGCCACGATCGGACCACGAACAATTGGATCAAGTTCGGCCCATCGAAGAGGTATAGGCTTAATTCCAAATTGATCGGGATATGCTAAAGTCGATCTCTTGTCAACATAATTTGTAACATGTACAAGAACTTGAAATATTAATGAAGCAAATGGTATCAAGCATACTTGTCAAAATGACTCTATCGGGATAGGATGAAGTTACCGTTCCTTTTTGGGAGGTAGGAGCAACTTTCGGTTGCTGAACATCTGATACGATCTTACTGGTGGATTGGTCTGTGGAGAGAGCAGGAAATGGAGGGTTTTCATTTCAAAGTGCCCGTTGAAAGTGACTATCACCGGGGAATGATAATTACCTTTGACCTCATACTTGTTCTTTGTCTCAGAGCTTTGTTTCAGACGTTCTTCTAGTTTTTTCAATTCGTCAGTATTTTGAGCTTTGTAAGTATCAAACTATTACGGGTTGGATAAGAGTAAAAGGTAAAAAAAGGTGCAACAAAAAAGTATCGGCCTTGAAACACTTGGTTTTTTTTCAGTGCACAAGTACTTTTGCAACGAGCGCGTCTTGATCCTTTTTCAGGGCTTCTATTGATTCCAAAATTTTGAACAAAATGGTTTCGTTATCCATGTTCCTTGCAATGTGGTTGGATAGGGAGGTAATGGTGATGAGAAAAAAGGGAGTAGTCAGCGCGAGCTAAATACACAAAATTCAGCTGAAGCTGGATTTGCATGATGTAATGAAATGAATGAATGGTTCATCACTTTTTCTGGCAGCATTGTTTAAAAAAGACAAACTAAGGCAAAAAGGTCATGCAGATTAATTTTGCTAGAATTAATTTTAAATTAATTTCGACTGTTAAGAAAAAAACATTGCAACTTGGGTTTAAAAAAAAGGAAAGAAAAATGGGTTTTCACTTCATGCAATACTTCAATACTCATTCAACATACAACCATTTTTATTATTATTATTATTATTATTATTATTATTATTATTATTATTATTAATTTAATTTAATTTATTTTATTTTTATTATCTTTTTTTTTTTCAAAACAATCTTTTCCACTCGATCCCCCTTTCTCAACACATAATAGTCGAAATTCGCCGCATAATTCGCCCGAGATTCTCTCGGATCTCGTGGCTTCGAACTTCGGCTGGTGAACGTTTATGGGTAATCTATCTCTTTGATCACGTGAAATCTTCATTTCCTAATGAGGTTAATGGGACGTCCAGCGGTTGTACGCAATCCACGCATAAATTCTTTTCTGCATAACTTTTTTTCCTAATTTTTTTTTTTTTTTTGTTGTTTGCAGTAAAATAATAAAAATAGTATTAATATGCTCAATAGCACTGCTAATAGTCTTACCACTTCCCAACAGCAACAACGTTCGTCTCCTAAAAAGTCTACTTTTGGTAGTAGTAGTAGTAGTAGCAGCAGTAGTAAAAAAAATATTAACCATGATGTACAAAGTTCCTCTTCCATTTCTTTATCTACTCCTTTAGTGTCATCATCTAATTATCAACATCCTTCTTCTATAAAGAGTAAACAATTATCCGCAAAAATAAAGAATATAAATAATAAAGTAAAAAACAATTATCTCGCCCACAATCAACAACAATCCTCTTCCTCTATTCAATCGGCCACCGCTATAACGCCGACAACAAACAACAACACTGCTGGTGTTTCGAGTTACTCAACGCCCTCTTCGTACAGTGTCTACTCACAACAACAAAACTTCTTTGCCAAATTACAAGCCACACAGCATCCCCACGACGACACAATGCAACACACTTCACGCGGTGGTCACTCTCATCAACTCAACAATGGCAGTAGTAGTAACAGTAGTCACGTAGACATCACCCTACACAATCGTCACAACCATAGTCATCAAACCAGCAGGGATTTAAATGCGCCAAGTCCTAATTCGAAATTGTTACTTTCCGATTTCATCATCTGTCGAACACTAGGCACCGGCTCGTTCGGTAGAGTTCATTTGGTACAGTCCAAGTATAATAGCAAGTTCTATGCGATGAAGGTGTTGAAGAAAACGGAGGTGGTCAGGCTGAAACAGGTGGAGCACACAAATAACGAAAAACAGATTTTGGAGCAAGTCAATCACCCGTTTCTGGTTAACCTCTGGGGTACTTTTCAGGACAGCGCCAATTTATACATGGTCATGGATTATGTTGTTGGCGGTGAGCTTTTTAGTATACTAAGAAAGAACCAGGTATTTAATTGATGAGTTCATTTGAGCAAGTTGAGGAGAGACGTATGAACTGTAAAGGGTTTAAACGGATTACCAATATATACGTCCATAAAAATGTGATTATTATTGATCAAGGCATTGGAATTGATTGTGATTCAATTGATGATGTGAATTGATGGTGATCTAATACGTCAACTTTTATATATTTTTTTTTTATATGAACCACGAATTTTTTAGCGTTTCCCAGATCACGTAGCAAAATTCTATGCGGCTGAAGTAATTTTAGCCTTTGAATATCTACACTCTAAGGACATCATCTATCGGGACCTAAAACCAGAAAACCTACTACTGGATCGCAATGGCCATATAAAAATAACAGACTTCGGTTTCGCAAAACATGTACCAGATATCACATGGACATTATGTGGCACTCCTGATTACCTGGCTCCCGAGATTATACAATCCAAGGGATACGGAAAGGCGGTAGATTGGTATTCCCTAGGTGTGTTGATATTCGAGATGCTTGCCGGGTATCCGCCGTTTTACGACGATGATCATGTGAAGCTTTATGAAAAAATACTGGCGGGTCGGATAAAATATCCGTCGTTTTTCGAATCGACGGCTAAAGACTTGCTAAAACGGTTGTTGACGAGCGATTTGAGTAAACGATACGGAAATCTGAAAGGTGGAAGTATGGATATTAAAAATCATGCGTGGTTCAAAGGATTTGATTGGGATGGTTTGGCAAGAAATGAGTTGGCTGCACCCTACATTCCTCATTTTAGTGGTGAAGGTGATGCCAGCAATTTCGATATTTACCCGGAGGAACGGGAGCCCTATGGGAAACCTTGTAACGATTTGCATAGAGACAAGTTTCCGGGTTTCTAATCGTTACGCGAATGAGCATAGTAAAGTTTTCAATTTTACTTTATCATTATTTTTTCTTTCCTACGTAATAATTTCCCCGGGGTTTCCTGTTAATAGCTTTTTTGTTTTTTTTTTTTTTTTTTGTGGCGATGTTTCTTTTATTTATTTGGTATTATTTTTCATCTGTGATTGTGTGGTTTCGTTTTTTTTCTTTTTTTGTGGGAGGGATATTTGAAAAAACTTTTGTTCTTGTAATTTTCCTTAAGATGATCATCAACCAAGTATAATTGGTGGATAAAAAAGATTAAGCAACTGATTCATCGGATTCTCCGCTGTTGGCGAAATCAGGAACGCCCAAGGCGACACCGATTTCAATTGTACATTTAACATTGCGAGCAATGTGTTCTGCGTTCACGAAATTCAAATAAAAACTTTAAATAAAACATCCCTTGTTATCTCAGCCAATTGACTGACCGAAAAATGGGCGAATGTATTTCTTGGCATTATTTAATTAAGCAGATTAAAGGATCAATTCTGTGTTCTACGAACATTTAAAAATTTTTTCCAAGATTGAATTTTAATTAGATAATGTAACTTTATCAAACATGTGTGATGGTGTAACGGGCGCATATGTTCAGGAATAGATAAGATCCTTTGATAAAACCGGATATTCGTAATTCACAAATAAAAGGAGATGGTTATACAACGGAATTCAGAATATTAGAATTCAAGATCTTCAATATTTTGAATAAAAAAAGGCATTATTAATAAATTAAAAGTGGTCTGAATACCAAATTTGGGTCGACCAGCTGTCTTGAAATAGACCATCTCATTTGAATTCAACGATCCACACGAAAAAAATGACTCTTTCGTCTGCTCTATCGAATGCTCTTATTTACTTGACCATGATTGCTTTCCTGTTCGTCGGCATTTACGCCGGGTTTACCAAGACCAAGAACAAACAGGACTTTTTATCCTCAATTGGCACTCAAACAGCTCTTGCCTTGGCTGCCAACTGGTTTGCTTCAAGTGAGTCATCCATCCTCTTGGGGAAAAATTAGAATCTGAAAAAGTGAAGAATTGAATTGGAGCGGCAACATCTCTTTACCCAACTGGTGATTCAGGTATGTCCACGTTTCTCCTTGGGGACACAGAATGTAAAGTTATGCCTTGATGCTTCAATTCGTTAACGAATTCGACGGATGTACTCGCTCTTTGGTGCATTCCATTTTGTTGCACTACATTAATTCTCGCTGTATGTGTATTAAATTCAAATAACCCGCAGGTGTAAGTTTTGTCATCGATCGCGTCGTTTCGCTTTCACAATACATGATGTCTGATGGTTCGAACGCCTAATATATATCATTTTCGTTCGTTCGGAATCGGCACTACGGGTGCTCAACTTCGATGGTATCATAAAGGATTCTCATTCGTGAGTTTGACTTTTGATACAGATCATTGTTGGGCTGAGAAAGCACCGTAATCACCTGATCAGGGTAATACCTGCGTAGGGAAGCTGCCGCTTCAAATTATTCGTAGCGTTGTATCGTTTCTAATTTTTCTCATTCATTCATTCATTTTTTTCTTTTGGCTATTTATGTGTGTGACATTTCGGTTGTACATGTGCGCGTGTGTAAAAGACTCGCTCAAATGCACCTCAGTTATTAAATGCACGTCGAAGTTGCCCAAAGCCCTGAGATAATTTTGCGACTAATTTTTTTTTTTCTTCGTGGAATCTTGTCATCTTCATTAGATCTCGGGTCCTCGGTTCTTTACGCGTACCCCGAGGTTGGTACCCTTGCGGGTCTTCTTGGAGTGTTTTGGTATGCATTCGGAAGTACCGTTCCACTTTGGATATTCGCCTGGCTCGGGCCTATGATGAGACGAAAATGTCCCGAGGGTTTCACGTTGACTACATTCATACTGGAAAGATTTGGAAGGATCAATCAAATCTATATTTCGTTAATGTCAATGGCGTACATGTTCTGTTATATGGTCAGCGAACTTTCTGCTGTGGGTGCTATCTTGAACTACTTGACGAATTTGGATCCTCTCGTACCCACCATAATGATTGCCTTGACGACCACAATTTATACTGGTTGGTTCTCTTTTTTTTTTTTTAATAACGCGTAAAAAAAAATTTTGTTTATCCAATTGCGGTCAACATTAATCCATTCAACTTTCGTGATAAAATAGCCTATGGCGGTTTTCGCGCATCTTTGCTTACCGATTCCGTACAAGGTTGGGCAATTATCATTCTCCTCGTAATCTCGGCTATCGGTTTCGGCGTTGACGTGAAAATTGACACATCAAAAATCGGACCCAGTCATCTCCTAGAGTCCAATACATTGGGATGGGAGTTGGCGTGGATCATGCCTATCGCCGTCACCTTTGCTAATCTATTTCACGAGGTACGATATGATTTATCGGGATGTTGCAATTTTCAAGGATTGGAAAATTAACCATTCATATTTTCGTAGGGTTACTGGCAAAGAACATTCGCCTCAAAAAATGATCGCGAACTCGTACTTTCCACAGTCTACGGAAGTATCATGTTGTTCCCCACACTATTCATCATAGGATTTACCGGTATGATTGCTTATTGGGCTGGCACTTGGACCGATGATGGGTCCAATCCAGGATACTTGGCATTCTTCACCCTTTTCTCTTTACTTCCGGATTGGGTGGTGGCCTTCGTTGTGATATTAACGGTCAGCTTAAGTTGTTCGGCCTACGACACTCTACAAAGTGCCATGGTGGCTACAATGTCAAACGATTTATTTAATAATAAACTTCCTTTGATTGCAATCCGTGCCTTGACCCTAATTTTTAACATACCGGCCGGTAAGCAATCTCTTGTTTTGCAAATACCGTTGTTCAACGCAAGATGATAACCCATTTTTTTTGCTTGCACAGTATGGCTTGGTCTGAAAAACCTCGACGTCCTTGAAGTCTTCTTAATCGGTGATCTTCTCGCCGCAGCCGCGATGCCACCAGTATTGCTTGGCCTCGCCGATTCTCTATACTTCCTAAACTGGTGTGATGCTTTGATCGGCGGGATCGGCGGGATGTTTAGTGTGTTCGCAACTGGCGCAATTTACTACAACAGTGCTTCAAGCGGAATCAACCTAATCTTGCTTCCCGATGGATTGTATAGTAATGATTACTCTGTGTTGATAGCATTTATCGCTGCTCCATTTGGAGCAGTGTTCTTCACATTCTTCTCCTTCGCATTGAGATTAGGCGGAATGTACATTTGGGCTTTGATTAAAGGCCAATCGTTTGAATTTCCAAAACGGAAAGAAAAAAATGTGGAAGAGGAGGAATCACGGTTCGAGAAGGAGAATTCGAATGTCGTGATTGATGATTCCGAGAATAGAAATATTGTATAAGTGCCAAAAGCCTTAATTTAATCTAACCTTTCTTGTATTTTTTAAACTATGATGTATTATATATTATTGTTTGTTAAAGTTGCTTCAGTAAACTTACCATGGTTAGATGTCTTGTTGAGACCATATGAAATTTCTAATTCGACGACTCTGTATTCCCTGTCAAAAGCTGCCGATCAATAATAAATACCGTTTATTTTATATTATATATTTTTTTTGTACCATACAAATATGATCTTTTAAAAAAAGAAAATATACTGCATATGTACAGCATGTAGAATGAAACTTGTATGCATACAGCATAAAGTAATTTGGGTGTGGTAATTTCCGTTGAGATAACGCATATTTTTTAATATATTAAAAAATTAAAGATAGCTTTTATCTGTAAAAAAATAATAAATAAAATAATGATCACGTTTATATCAATACCTGACAAAAAATTTTAAATTTCATTTTCCTTTTTACTTTATATAAGAAATGAGTTTTTGTTTACATAATGTATGTAAGCTCGATGGATCATTTGAATGTAAGATAAACGTAAAAAAAATTGTTCAGCGCAAAACATACTTTTATGCATAATATTATCGGCGAACTTTATAAATAACAGATAAAAAATTACAATTTGATAAATCTTTAAATCTAATGCAGAAGAGAAAAGATGTATCACAGATTGACTAGTTATATACAATAAAGCAGACGTCGTCAAACCCCCAAAATTAAATTATTCTCAAGAAGCTATTCAGTGAATGTTCTAGATAAAAGTGTGACCAAACATAAAAAAACCGAGTATTTATAAGAATCTCCAGATCGTTATCATATTTACGTGTGTGAAAAACAAAGTCGCTAAAGAAAGGAGAGTGTGAGATGGTGAATGCAACAAAAAAAGAAAATAATCTCAATTTTGAAGGCCTAAATATATATATATATATATTGTGTAGCTGTTTCAATAATATGGTCGACGGGGATTGTTCTAGGAAGGGCAAATGGTTAGTAGTGCACAAAAATCAAAACCGTGAAAATTTTTGTCCCCAAGCATCATTTTTTTTTGAACGATATGCAGCGAGAAATATCGACATATTAAAGATTTCATTGGAATATCGAATAGGAAATGTATTCCTGAGCAAGTATATATAGACATATATTTAAAAGCAAACGCATGGTAACATACCAGAGGATTTGGTCTGAATCTATAAGCAAGCATCATACGTTTACGATAAATCTCAAATTCATCGTCTTCTTCCTCAACACCCTCAGGTTTTGATTGACCTAGACCCGCGTTTGCAGGACGCGAATCAGCTCTGAATATAAAAAGAAACCATATGCGGTGGATATTTTTTACGGTTTGCAATTCACTAATCGAGAGAGGATGACGGTAGCTTACTTGTTGATGGGAGCGGCAATACCTTCACCCGATTTTCCCAATCCGGTACCCGCCTGCCAGCCTTGCTTCATCAACATCTTGAATCCAATATTTGACTGATCTAATTTGTTACTTGCATAGTCCTCATACTCGGGAGGCGTACCTCCGGTTTTGACAGCCTTGACCTTTTGCTCAAATTTTTCCAACTCTTCTTTGGGCAAAAAGTCGGCGATATGGTGAGCACGCTTCGCCTCAGCCGAAGCAGTTAATAAGGCAGCCTGCTCTATTTTAAAACAAAAGTTTCAAGAATTATTCCACAAATAAATTCGAATTATGTAATCGGAGCAAAATGAGATTTACCCGCCGTCTTCTTCATTTCTTCGGCTCGCTTTTTATGCTCCCAAGTGCCTCCCTCCGTAATCTCATCTTCAGGATAAACCCATTTGGAGCCCACACGTACCATACCAGGTTTGTACGTGTCTGAATATTTTACGAATTGTCGTTCATCCGAAGTATATATTTGTTGAGACGGCACAACAGTTCGAGCAGAGTTCGACACTGTGACACTTGAACTGCTCTTCAAATGAGTTAGTAATTCTCCGGCAACGACTTTCGTATCAGCATTAGTAGTTGATCCCGGAGCCTCTTTAGCTGTTGAACCGGCTTGATCCCACCGACTCCTTTTTCGTTTCTTTTTATTTTCGCCGGTCTCGGTGGTAGTTATGCTGGGTTCAACCAAGCCATTTTCGTTCAATTCATTAATTAAAGGCACATTAGCTCCCTGCTTCGAGACCACCGGAGTTACATTATCATCCAACTTCGGAACTTCTGGTGGCTTCGTTAAGGAAAAGCTAAATTTGGTTGGGGGATTGATTTTTTGTGCATTCTTTTGTTCCAGAGAGTTGCAGTTTTGGTCAACTTTCTCTGATGTTATGGTTATGTCTAGTGACTTTTCTGCCTCGGAAGTTTTACTCTCAGTACTCATCTTTTATTTTAATGTATGTTACAGAAAGAAATTTTTGATATGGTACTTTGTATGTCGATGTGACTACTACGTGATTCTTGACGTTGACCAATCAAATTTTTTGTACAAATAAATAATAATAATTAAATGACAAAAAAAAAAAAAAAATCGACTTTTTTTTTTAAATTTTGACGCGATGAGTAAGGACAATAAAGACGAAGACACGTTTCATCAATTAGAAGAACTCATGTCCGATTACAGTAGTGAAGGTGAAGATAGCTCGGAGGAGGAGGAAAGAGAGGATTTGAAGGAGATTGAAAAAAGTAAAGATTTCTCGTTGGAAAAAAAAGACGAGGAGAATTTGCGAAAGCGGACAGCTTCGATCAAAGACAAGGTGTCGTAACACAAACTTTTTATTCTGTGTTTGATTGATTTTTTTAACTTGTTGCTTAACATTTTTCCAATCATTTTCAAGAGTGAAAAAAAGAAAAGAGGCGTTATATATCTTGGTCGGATACCTCACGGGTTCTACGAAAGTCAAATGAGAAAATACTTTAGTCAGTTTGGTACGGTGACTCGATTGAAATTGTATCGCAATAGAAAGGTTAACTGTTCATTTTAAGACAAAAAGCGAATTGTTCTTCGCGAGGCGGATCCATCGGTCTAAGACTTCTCCGTATAAAAATTACCTAATAGACGGGCAGATCGAGACATTTCGCATTCATCGAGTTTTCTCATGAAGAGGTGGCCCAAATTGTTGCCGAAACGATGCACAACTACATCATGTGTGATCGCTTGCTTCAATGTAGGTGAAATTCGTGGATTCAAAAACCTAATTTGACCCAACGTCCTATATCGTTTATTGCGATCTTACTTTTTGTGAAACAATTGATGCTCAGGTAAATTCATTCCGGCAGAAAAAATCAATCCATACATGTGGGTGGGAGCAAATAAAGGGTTTAAACCCAGACCATACATAAAAGAAACGATGCAGATGCACAACAGAAAGAGGTCACCAGAAGAAAAGATGAATCGAGTGAGGAATTTATTAAAGAAAGATCAGATAAAGAGGAAAAGATTGCAGAGTTTGGGAATCGATTTCGATTTTCCTGGCTACGTAAGTTTAATTTTTAATGACCCGTCATTAATGTATTTTCTTGTATTTCATTCAATGTTAATACATTTGTATTCTTTCGTCAAGACTGCATGCGTCGAGCAAAAATCAAAAGAAAAAAGGAAACCCGAAAAAGTAGAAAAGAAAACTACTAAGAATAAAAAAAGTAAAAAAGTAAAAGGAGGGTAAACTATCATGTCATTTACTCTTATCACAACATTTTTTTTAAAAAATTATAAATTGCTAAGTTATGCACAGTGATATTGAAGAAATTTTCCGGATGCAATAAAATATGATTGACAGATACACCAGTTTTTTTTTTGTTTTTTTTCTGTGAATTTGGATAAGAGCTAAGCATATTTGCTGAATTAAAGGATGAAGGGGTAATTATTTTTACATCTATGAAAGGAATCTATTATTAACGAACAATATGTACAGCCGAAATAAAAGAACAAATACAAGAAAAAAGATTAAAATAAACCACATCAATAAAATTTTTTGACTTGAATATTTTAATCGTTATATTTCTCTTTGAAAATCCAAGAATTTCCCATTGTACCTTGACCCTGTGCATCTGCCATTCTGTAGTATTTGGCAGCTGTGTAGGGATAATTTGGGATTTAATACAATCACAAAACTACATATGAAAAATGGCAGAGAAAAATGAATTATCAACAGCTTACCGGTTTTCATATCTTTTTTGACGCCTTCGCCCATATAATAACAAAGTCCGATATCATTTTGTGCATCCGGATCTCCCTATAGTCAACAAGGTCGCATTATTTCTTAATTTCAAATAACGCGTTATCATACATTAATTACGTGATAGGAAGAAAGTTTACCATGTTTGCGGCCATTTCGAAATACAAAGCTGCTGTAGCCTTATTTTTGGGAACGCCCCATCCATGTCTGAAACACATTCCTAATTCGTAGATCGCCAAGACTAGTTCACCTTTAAAAGGAGATGCGCTAATGGTATTATTTATACTATTCAAAATGCCAATGGCTGATTGTGCTGCCTTTTGTAAGTATTTGAATGCTAATGCTGCGTTCTTCTTACATCCCTAAACGCATGTAATGAAAACTATTAGCAAATCTTTAATTTTGATTTTTGATCTGTTATTTTTTTTATTTACCCATCCGTGTCTTAGAGCAATTCCATAGAGTACTACTCCAATGATATTATCTTGTTCTGCTGCAAGGCGAAAATATTCAGTGGACTTCTCAAGTTCGTTTTCTTCATGATACTTTATTGCTTGTGTCACATATTCCTCTGCTGTAAGGGTTTGGCCCATAGTTTCTGTATTTCTAGCAACGAAAGATGCACCATCTTCAGCTTGCTGATTTTCATGCTCTAGTGATTGCGAAGAAGGTGGTTGCACAGAAGGTGAATCGACGGAAGGACCACTCGGTGAACTTTGTGGAAATCGCTGAGAACCTGAATCTAAGGATGGACTTGGAACCATTCTTTGTTTCAAACCATCATTTTGAGGTTGCAAAGTTGGCCTCTGCTGATCTTTATCAGGAGATTGACTTATTAATGATTGAGCAGGCACTGATCTTGAAGTCGACATGACATTCGAATATTGCGCCGGAGGTCTCTGATGTGGTTCATTGTTCGAACGTGGTATTTGAGGTCTTTTTGGTGACACGTCATTTGAATACGACGTCGGGGACCATTGCGGCGATGCATTATTTGGGGACGATATCTGGGATGAGGTGCTGTCCGAGTGTGGTACCGGCGATCTTTGAGGTGATGCACCATTTGAAGGCGGTATCGGAGACTTTTGAGGAAACGATGCACTATTCGAAGGAGGTATTGGTGACCTTTGAGGCGGTGTACTGTTTGAATGCGGTACCGGAGATCTCTGAGATAATGCGTTGTTTGGATGTGGTATCGGAGGTCTTTGAGGTAATGTGTTATTTGGGTGTGGTATCGGAGGTCTTTGAGGTAATACGTTGCTTGGGTGTGATGCCGGAGGTCTCTGGGGTAATGCATTATTTGGATATGGTGCCAGTGGTCTTTGAGGTACTACGTTATTTGGGTGTACTGCCGGGGGCCTTTGAGACAACACGATATTCGGAGGTCCATGAGGTGATGCGCTGTTCGAACGCAGAATCGGAGGTCTTTGAAGTGAATTTGGTGCTGGAGGCCTTTGAGGAGAATTTGGTATCGGCGGCCTTTGAGGAGAATTTGGTATCGGTGACCTTTGAGGGGAATTCGGTACTGGAGATCTTTGAGGTGATGTACTATTCGAATGTTGCGCTGGCGGTCTTTGCAAAGATAAACCGTTCATATTCTGCATTGGAGGCCTTTGTTCAGAAGGGTATTGCGTCGGTGGCCTTTGAGGAACAGCATTAATCGGAATCGGGCGTTGCACTGTCATTTGACCGGGCCTTGGAACTTGAGCTGAGAAATTTGAGTATTGTTGCACAGGTCCAGGGGGTCGAGGTAATGAAATGGGGGGACGCATTGGGGATGGAGAACGCGGTGAATTAATTGGATAAGGTGGTTGTGAAGAAGGATTCGGTGATGAAAGAAAAGAACCATCTTCGCTGTCATCTGATAAAGGAATGTCGTAACCTTGTGCGAATAGTGATGATGCCGATTGTGGACTAGGCATTGGAGCAGACCGTGTAAAATGAGGACTTCCCCGGCAATTGTACATTATTGGATTGGCGAATAGTATTTCGATAATAGTCCGAAATATCATATGGAGACCCAGGAACTTCCGGGGCCTGAAAAGCCTCGGGCGAAAGGCGATCTGGTGGAGATTGTGAACCCGAGAAAAACTCTTCCTCCCGCCGCTGACGATTATGCTCGTGCCTTACTTCTAGAGAAGCAGAAGAACCGTATTGACGCATTGGTTGGCGTTTTAAGTGTGGTGCATCAGTATGTTTATTATGTTCCTCTGGATAATTATAACCTTCTTGGGAGGCTGGTCGAGGACGACGCACCGGGTCATCAGTGTCACGGTCAACAGTCAAAGCCAAGCCCTTCTTGAGTTTTCCCATATAAAAGTAAAGTTAATGTTGTTAAAAGAATGATAAAGATATAATTAAAAAATGATTGAGTATATAATGCGAAATGAAAATGAAGAAGAAAAGCTCAGAAATATTGGTCAACCGATCACGGAGAATTTGCGAATTACGAGTACAAAATAATTTATCACTTATTATACGTTTGGGGTCTAACCAAACATATTATTTTTTAAGATTTTCTAATTCGTCGACAATTTAATTTTACCACGTACATATACGTACTTATTTTATTTATTGTAATACAAAACATCACAAATCTGTAATCAACCACCCTTTCATTCCGTCTTCGATAAGATGGCAGTAAATATCCTGTCTTTTATTCTCTCTGCTTTCATTATGCAAACTATCCTTTTTCCCTAACAACTTTAAAACTCTTTGTCGTCTTGTTGTTTTCAAAAGTTCCAACCGGTAAATCCAAAGCCATTTCTTCAAGAACTAACAGGAAAACCTGTAGTTGTTCGTTTAAAATGGGGTATGGAATACAAAGGATATCTAGTATCAGTGGATTCATACATGAATTTACAGGTGATCTATTTTAAGCTTTTCACTCTGATTCGCATGTGCTTTTTTAATTTAACTAGAGTCTTATGAAAATTCCATAGCTTGCCAATACGGAGGAATTTATTGATGGGAATTCAACCGGAGCACTTGGAGAAGTGTTGATCAGGTTAAGAATTTGATGACTCATTTATGCGCAATCGATCGCTTAAATGTTATATTAAAAATATATATATATGTCAATTACTTTTTGATATAGATGTAACAATGTGTTATACATCAGGGGAATTGAAGAAGACACAGAAATGGGAGGAACCTAGAATAAACTTACCTGCGTGGATGTTTCGCATCCCACTGTTACTTGTATAAGGCTCTTTACTATAATTTGAAGTTCGGCTTCAGGAAATTAAATATACGTGGAAATCACAAATAGACAATAATCTAAATCAAGGATGTCTTACCCGTTATCTTTTTCAGTTTCTGTTGCATCTCAAACAAATTTCTCAATAATTCCTGTTAATCTCTGGTCGGCGTCATGCTTCGACTCTTTGTCTTTCTTGGCTGTAGAGTGACTTTCACGTGTTTTCCAGAAGCTATCATGTAACGCTATGAAAAAAAATTCCATATTGCGAAATAATAATGACGAACGCATGGTTTCTCATTTTAACTGGGTGCTTCTTATTCAATTGATGGTTGATTCTGAAACGGTCGAGAATTTTAATTAGACAGTATATTGATTTGTTCCTTTTTCGTAAGAAAAATCGAACGTGATTTTACGTGATTTACAATCGTCGGATTTTTGAATTGAATTTACAAGTCTTTAACGTCCGTAAATAACTAATCTTGGACTAGTGACCGAATGGATCGACTTCCCAACTTGGCCTAGTTTATTTTTAAAGTTTTCATATATAATAGATCATAAATGAACAATCGTTTAGCATGGGTATCTCTATTGGTACCTAGATATTTTTCTAAATCAATAATTAGTATTATCAATATTAACTAGAATATAAATCAATTATTTTAATTATTTCCTAAATTATATTTTTATCAAAATAAAAAGTATGTGCCATTTAATTAATTTATTTTTGATATTTTTAATTCTTAATCAAGCTCAAATCATTTGTTTATTAAATCACATTGAATTATTACAATAGAGATTGCATGTAGAAGTTCACTTGATATAATTTACTTATCAATAATAATAAATCTCTAGATTTTTTTTGGAGAGGTATTGAAACAATTATTTGAGATACAGGTCATGTATACATATAAAAAATTATAAGAAATATTTATCCCTTAAATTGTATTTTCAATTAAATTTACTTGAAAAATTAATAAAAATATATTTATGATTTATTTTTTTTTAAATTTTAAAAATTTTCAAATAAAAAATTTTTTTTAATAATATTTGAAAATAAGAATTATATTACAACAGTATTTCATTTTATATTATAAGAAAAAAATTTTAAGTACTTTATAAGATGAAAATATGTTGAATTTTTAAAAAAAATTTATATTAAAAAATTATTTATTTATCTTTAACAAACTTTTTAAATATTATTTTTAAACAAATAGTTTTTAATATAATATTTTAATTTATATAAAATATAATACTTTTTATTATTATATTTTTTGTAATTTCTTTATAAACATTTGAATTTGTATTATAAATAAAAAATTTTTATTATTTAAAAAGTTTATTAATAAATTATTGTTTTATTTAAAAAATATTAATATTATTTAATTTTACAAACGAATTTTTTTGCAATACAATTTATAAAATAACTTTTTTAAACTATAAAGTAAACTCATTAGAATTATTTTATTATATGATTTGTTGTTTGTTTTGTAAAACAAAACATTAAAATATTCTTAAAACAATTAATCTGTCAAGATATTATTAATACTTTTGAAATAAAAATTAGTTATAATATTTCTTTTTTTTTTTTAACATAAGAAAACTTTATCACTTTTTTTTTTTTTTTTTTCTCAATCAGGTTGGTGTTATTTATTTATTAAATCATAATGAACTATTACAAATATAAATTGTATGTATAAATTTCCCTGACCCAGCTCACTCGTCTGTGACAAAGAGTCTCTAAATGCAATTTATGGGGATGATATATTGCTCGTCCATTAATTGGGATTAAGATCCCATTTGTTTAATAAAGTCAAAGCCTGCAGATCATCTCTACAAATCATATGCTATAAACCCAGATTAAGTTTTTATTTACTGTAAGTGCTAACCATTTTTTCCCACTTTCTATGAACTCCTGTATTAGTTCTTTGATCTTGTCTAGTCTATTTATATACTTTTCCATCTTGTACCTTGTCTTTTCTTTCTTTTATTGTTCTGATTGTTTGATAACTGGATACTAATGGCACTGTTGATTTCTGTGAACCTGGAAATGTGGTTTTCCAAGCTGAGGTCCATGTCTGAACTCAGTTCCGTCGATGGCGAAG